CACCATTTATGTATGCGTACTTCAGTATGCAGTAGATAAAACGGCGCCACTCAGAGACATGCAGAAACAAGCAGATTATTCATATAGCAGTCTCTTTGCACTTTAATATTCACAGACACATATCATAACTACTTTTGATTTATCCATCCATCCGATTGCGCATTTTACGTGACAACCTCGTTATACTGTAAATTCCATGTTCACGACTGCACCGGGATTCCCTCTGCTTCACGGAAATCATACGGCCTTAACTTATAACTTGTTATTAATGCGACGCACCTTCATCTGCACAGAGGGATGGTGTCCGCAAGCGAAGATGTTGAATGTATTGCCTGCTTTTGCAGCCACTTTGCGTCCACATTTTTTGCAAATTGGATCCGTCTTCAAGGACAACCATGCGTTTGTTTTTTTTTTTTTAATATCCGAAGTATTCCCATACTGCAGATATTAACTTTTTTTTCTCAGTGGGGATGGAGATTAGATATTATCTCTGTCTCTGTCATTTTCTACGCTGCACGTGCGTGTAAGCAGCCAAGTGAATGCAGAGTGAAGCAGCCGAGCGGAAATAAGTTGCATGCGCATGGGTGAGATTTTTTTTTCATTCTTTTTTTTTTTAAACTGTAGATATGCAAATGTTTACGGTATGATAACCTTGCACGTTCAAACCGTGATAAACTGTCATACCGGTATATCGTTACAACCCTAGTCAGTAGTATTCCTCTGTGGTTTTTCAAGTTTAATACTTTGTTTCAAACAGTAGAAAAATATATTTTAATCTATAAATGGATTTTCACTTGAGTTTGTCTGATTGTTACTCATTGTATGTGTATGAGAATATTCTTCTTCCAGTTACTTTTTTTTGGTAACAAGTTACTAAAAAGTGACAAGACAGAAAAGGCGATTGCTACAGAAAAGCAAGCAGGCTGACCTTTAAATCCAACCTTCAAAATAGTTTCTCCAGCTAATTACACTGTTATAATAGTAAAGAAAGAATCCAATAGGTACACTCTTCATTTAGTTTTTGTGATTTTCCTATTTGGCTCAATAAAAACTTGATTTTAAAGAATGATCCCACATGGCCCTTACATGTACTGCTGGTTGTGTTTGCAAATGAACATGCCTACATCAAGAGCACTGAATAAGGTGACATTATGGAATGCTATCTGAACCAATAATAATTCAGACATCTGACAGGTGCCTCTCACCTCTCTTCCATTAGTTGTCTGACTGAAGCAATGTCTCGCCCAGATCCCAAGTGATTGTAATATGGACCCTCATCCTTTTCTAGGACTTGATCTATGGGAGACAGAGAACCAAGCCGTTCACACAGAACACATATTTTGCGCATTTTCTAGAAGGATGTCTCGCACAAAAGAGCCGCATGTTTAGAAAGCCACGTAAAATTAATGCAAGCTTAACTTTATGGCGGGGTTTTCTCTCCCATCCCACTGCAACTCGTGTTTTTAAATGTAATCTGTGTGATTGGCTTTCGGCCCTTTTATATATCATATGTATAATACAAATTTCACACAACCAAAACCTCTGAAATGACACAGTAAGAGATATGAGGCCTGAGCTGAGAGGTTGCAGTCCATCTCTTCTCACCCTGTCCTCCCTATTCCCTCCCTTCTTTGATGTCTGGCCACAGTATATCATATGATATATGAGCAGAGTCTCTTCATTGTGACTGCCTCCTTTGCAGAAACTAGCTGTACTCACTGTACCAACAGCCTGAACAGACAGAAAGTGGTGCACTGCACTGGCCCAAAGAATTACAATGGGCTCCTTTCTTCAAATCTACTGTTCCTCTGCAAGAGACACAGAGAACAGACTGCAATGCAATGCACGGGCCCCTGATAGAGCAGGCATTCTCAGACATGGCCCAACACTACCCTGAGAAATGTGCTGATGCAGAAATTATATGATGAAAGAAACATTTGGGGCTTGCTGAAGGGAATTCTAATGATCAATTTAGTCTATATTACAGTCTAATTAAATATTTTAACATACACTGGAAACTAATAAAGCTAAACTATATTAAACATAAACAGAGTTAAAAAAAAAAGGCTGTGTTTAAAAATTGTAAATAATAGAGGGTTAGGGGAGTTAGCTAAGTGGGTCTCATGGTCTCATTATCAGTAGAATGTGAGGAGATGTGGGGTGGTGTGATGTGCTATACTGCAGCAAAAGTTCAAATGACATATTGTTTTGTGATTTTTTTTGTTCTGTTTGAGAATATGAGTGATCTTGCCCAAATTGCTCCAATTTATTTTGCTGATTGAATTCTCTCACTTACCTACGCAGTCACAGGTGGGAAACTCAGGTTGGGCATCTTTCCCAGGTGTATCTAGCAGGTTCTTGGTAGGAGTGTCCAGGTAACGCAATGGTGACTCAAGAAAACCTTTAAGTGAAGGCGAGGAGGGAAAGATATCCTTGGTGGGAGTATTCAAATCAGCCCTCTCTCTGTCTGTAGACAAACATGCAGTTGTGGAGAGCACTGTCACGCCACCAGATGACTCAATCCTTATACGTTTAGATGGAGGGGAGAAAGGTGTGACGAAGGGGTGCTGTCGCTCCAGAAATGCATCCTGAGCTACAGACAAGGGCTGCCCAGAAGGTTTCACATCTACCTCACATTCCTTACTTTCCTGTTTGATAGTACAATGCTCCTCAGATGGCAATGGTGTTTTTACTTTCAGTCTTTCAGCCATGTCCTTTTGACCTGCATCCATGGGGTCAGAATCATTTGAGGGAAAAGGAGGGCAGTTATTTGGCTGCTTTGGGGATGGTGACTCGGGTCTGGTTTGTCCTGAGTTTGATTGTGACTCGGTCACCACTGGCTGAGCAGGGCCATTCTCTGGGGTCTCTGCTGCAGAAGCTGAGGAAATGGTGTCCCCAAACTCCTCCTCAAACTGGCGAATCGGCTCTTCAAATTTTGGATCTAGGTTACTAAGGCCAGCCAGAGAAGGAGTCTGCTGTGTTGTAGAGGTTTGAGGTGTGATACTGGTTGTTGGGATGCTAGCATCTGACCCAGCTGGGCCTGAGCAAGCTATCACCTTCTGGGTGGATGGTGCTAGGACTGACACAGGAGTAAAACAAGAAAGAGTGTTTTCAGAGATAGGTGCACTGCTGCTATTCAAAATGGATTCCTGAGACTGAGCTGGAGCTGGGTGGCTCTCAGCCACCTGAGAGGGGGGAAGCCCAGATTCCATGCCTGGTAAAGATGGAGCAAGCTGAGATAGGGATGGTGCACATCCTGGGGAGATGAGGGGAGGTTTCAATATTATAATCTGGTTATGTGGGAGGAAAGTTGGTTGGGAAGCTTTCTGTTTATGCTTCTTGATAACAATCTGTTTGGGTTTTGGAAGAGGTGTGCCCAGTGGACCAAAAAGCCCACCCATTGGCTGCTTGAGAAGAGGAGAACTCTGAGCGCTCTTTTTCTTTTTGGGTTCTTTTTGCTCCTGTTTGATGGTTACAGGACCCTCTGGAATAGTCTGTGGCCACCACTTACGAAGGTTTTGACAAGCCACGGGGGCTAACGGATTGAAGGTAGGGGAATTAGAGAAGAGGTTACGTTTATGATGAAGGTGCTGCTGTAGTGCTGCCTGAGTTGAGTGCCTAATGGTGGGGGAAAACTGCTGGCCGTGGAACTGCTGCTGGCCATTTACCACCCCCTCCCGGCCCATGACTGCACACCCTGTGCCCAGGTACTCCTTTATATCCACCTCCTGCTTGATGTGAGGCATCCCAGTAAGGCTGCCCTTGCGACCATCCTGCAAGCTGGGGTGAGGGAGTGGGAACTTGAAGGCTGAGTTGGTGTACTTTCCACCGGTGTCTCCAAGGAGTTGCTTTAGCTCAGACACTGGGTCAGTACTGCCTTTGGATGGGTTTACAAAACGAGGCTGGGAATCAGTATTCACCATCATCCATGCGTTCCGAGGGGAGCTTTTCTCGCAGCTTCCAGCTGTGCCCTGGTTCCACTGCTGGGGTCGGGGATTAGGGGTTAATGGGTGTACGCTTGTAAATGAGGACTTGGAGGATGGGTATGTGGAAGCATAGTGAGATGGGCTAGACAAAATGTTAGGTGCAGGGGCCTCCCCCTGAGACTGAGGTCTCTGCTGATCCCATGAAATCTCCTGTTGAGGATAATGACCTGGAGGGATGGACTGTGGCATAGCAGAGGTGGCAGAGGAGGACAAAAGAGGACCAGGTGATGTAGAGACCACTTGTGGCATACTCTGAGGATAGGAGGTTGGCAGATGCTGATGATGATTTGCAGGTGAAGACTCATCTGGAGGAACAACAGTTTGTGGGTCAGTGGCAGACAACTGTGTCAGAGCCTCAACTGCAATTGCTGTTTGCAAGCTAACATTTCTTTCCTTGGCTATTGACAGAACACTAGGGGAGCAAGGAATAGGTGCTGGTGGGCCAAAGGGTCTAGGAGCAGAAGGCTGGTTAACATGGGGATGTGGATTTGTGTCTTGCACACACAAGGAGTTACCTCCACATTGTTGAGGTTGGGATTGGGCATTACGATGCTGTGCATGTGGCTGTAGAGGAGCACCCGAAATTTTACAGGAACCTTTATCCTGACAGCTAGCCACCATTTTGATTTGCTTCTCCAGCCACTCCAGGTAGTCAGGGCAGTCTGGGCCATCACAATCACAGTTAGGGGGCTTGTGGCCATGACGGGCCTTGCTCAGTGCTGCCTGAAGAGTGTTTAGGTCTTCAGGGGGGTACAACTCACCATCCACACCTTTCTGTCTGCCCTCCTCACCTCCATTAGACATTTCCTGATTGAACCTTTCGTACAGCTGAGCTGTAGGAGTCTCAGAAGGTTGATGGTTGGTGTAAGGTGGCAGTGAGCCAACAGTAGCAGAAAAGGCCACCAGGGTTCGTGCATCCTCCATATCCACATCATTCACTGGTGTACTGGCATTTTGGCCACTCCAAGCACCCTGTTGAGATTCAGGATTTGACTTCCCAGCATGCTCAGGGACACAACCTAGTGTCTGGGAAATACATCCAGCTCCCTCGTGGTAGTTGTGCTGGTGTTGCTCCCTGGCCACGCCTCTGACTTCTTCATCACAAATATTTTCTTCATTTGTTGCATGTTTGCTAAGCCCATTAGACAGTTCCTGGTTTAACACGCCTTCATCCAGGCGGTCTTGGGACCCAATTTCCATCTGGCCTCTTCCTCTGGGGCCATCCACTGAACCCACCACAGAAACAGTCTGTGGAAGAGCAAATACATAAGTTACTTGACAATGTTCCAGCAAACTGACAATTTATATATATATATATGTTTTAAGTCCGTGAATTAGGGCTGTGCGATATGGACAAAAAAAACCTATCGCGATTTCTTTGATCAATTTTGCGATTTCGATTTTAATCACGATTTTGACACACACAGACATGCTTTACAGTCATTAATGCATTCAGTGTGAATTTGAAACATATTTCCAAAAGAAAACCAATTAGAACTTTATCAAAAAGCTGTAACATGTCTCTAGAACAGACATAAGGCAAAAGTAAAGGTGTAACAAAATGTCACTAGAATAGACATATGGCAGAAAAAAAAAAAATCCCGTGTCCAGGGGCTCCTGATCCGCGACTGTTTACCACAAACACAACATTTATCCATTATTTTGATTTCAAATCCAAACGTTGTTTCTGAAAATGCTTTTTCAGCATTGTGATTCTCTTTTATCACAGTACAGTAATACAATATTTCATACACATATTCACGTTTAAACTCAATAAATATAACTTTGTTTAACTACCACCACGAGTGCCATCTATTATTGCCTTGTTTATCTAAAAGTGCACTTTT